TCGGGGGGACCTTCTCCTCCCCACAACTCCCTGACAGGAGGGGGAGCCGGGGGGGTCGGGCTCTGCTTCCAGGGAACAAGGGACAGGACAAGGGGAATGGCCTCGGGCTGTGCCAGGGGAGGGTCAGGTTATGGGGATATGGATATGGGGAAATTGCTCCTGGAATTCCTCCTGTCCAGCCCTGGCACAGCTGCCCAGGGCAGGGGGGAGTCTCCATCCCCAGCCCTGTGGATGTGGCACTTGGGGACATGGTCAGGGGTGGCTTTGGGGGACTGGGGGGTCTCAGAGGCTTTTCCCACCCAGAAGATTCCCTGATCCATGTGCAGAGCTGTTCAGGACGTGAGGGAAGGGCTGAGCCCGGGGTGTCCCCGTGCCCTTGAGCCAGGCCCAGCCCTGCCTGTCCCTCAGCTTTGCCTCCTGGTATTTCCTGGCTGAGAGTGTGAGCTCTGGAAATCTGATCCCAGGATATTAAAGCTCCAAATTTATGACTCCTTTCAGTCCCCCCTTGCTCCTTCATTCCCCCTTCCCATGGCCACGTGGAATTCTGGAGTCCCACTGCCTGTCCCCTCGTGTTCTTGTGGGTAAATCCCTGTCCCTGCCTGTGGATCCCTGATGCTGGATCCCAGCTCTGAGCAGGGAATTCCGGGCTGAGGAAGGTGGGAGCAGTGGAAGGAGGGTGTCAGGACAGCACACAGCTCTGGAGGGTGCAGGGGTGGGTGTGGAACGACCCAGGAATTATCTATGGGGCTGATTTGGGTCCTGGGCCACAAAACTCGTGTTTGGCAAAAATCTGTGAGGTTGTGGGAGCTCAGGGGGAGGGGGGAGACTCCCATGGGAAGGGTCAGGAGCACCAGCCCTGCTGGCAGCTCATGGAATCTGCTGGGCACAGGGAGAGGCTATTTCAGGAAGTGCTGCCTGAGGAAAAGGTCTCTGCACTGGCACAGGGTCGGGGTGTCGGGTGTCCCCTGTGCTCAGGTGTCACCCTGGGGTGGCCTCAGGACAGGGCAGAGCAGCACTGGGGGGGTCACACCCCCAATTCGTGGGCAGGTTTGGGCCCTTCACAGGACACCGAGGGGCTGGAGCGCATCCAGGGAACGGAACTGGGAAGGGGCTGGAGCAGCAGGAGCAGCTGAGGGAGCTGGGGGGGCTCAGCCTGGAGA